CTGCCAAATCATCAATAGGGGTAATGGAGCACCCGAACGTGAGAATCGCTGCTCTGTTCATTCGTCTGTAAATTTATTGTTCGCTTGTACCCCGTCGCCAAATGCAGTTATGCACGATCGCAAATTAAATCCATCCTTAGAATTTCACTTGTCGATGGTTTCGCGGCTATTGTTCTTTGGTCGAAAGTTGGCCTGACGCATGTTACTGGTCACCTTCAAGCGCATATTTTCAAAGTGATCTTATTTCAAAGCTCTGTTAATATATTCACGGTTGTTGATATTACTTGATTGCTGCTATTGTTAATTCACATTATTATTACATATGTGTACCAGGGTGACAAACTTTCTCATGGAAAAAATGAAACTGCATTGCGCTAATTTCAGCTGAAAAAAACGTTGCACCTTCTGGTCTTAAAACAACCTATGTGCTATTTCGTTTCAAAAAACAACCTTGAGGAGACACTGGATCAAATTTTGTTCACCTTAGGCGCCGTAGTGCACGAACCCTTATTCGTCTCACCCCTTAATGTCATATCTTTTTGACACGGAAAAGTTCATGTGAAGATTCATCGAAAAAATTAGATTGAAAGGACGTGCCGCCAACATTTTATGAAAAAGAAGTTTAATCAAGCGACCTTGGAGACTAATCTTTTCAAAGCGAATTTCCAGATAGACTGATTCTACACTGAGAAACATCTTTCAGAGGGATGAGACTTTTGAAATTCCGAAATCTGAAAGTCGTGAATTATGGTGCTTTAGACGAAAAACAAGTTAATTTAGCTACTTTTTAAAACTAATTTTTTAAAATGTTTCTTCTAGACTAGAAGGTATATTTTCCTGAACTGGTATCTTGGAAATTTAAAATTCGAAAAAATTTATCACCCTCATGTATATATTAACCAAAAAGTTTGTCATGAGCTACCATAAATGAATACCTCAAATAAAAGTATTATCATCAATCGCTTCTCCGTTTCTGTGCTAGACTGAGACAGCATCATGAGGTCCAAGTCGAGCAGAGTCAGTCGTCTTATATAATACTTTCAAGACAAAATCTGTTTTACAGATTGTTTTGTTGATGAGAAATGTTGAATGTGATTAAGAAAGCACTTTATGAAATCTGTTCAACGTTGAATTCATGCTGAATCATGAAGAATAAATCGACGAACATACTTCAACAGATAAGTACATGTTTTGAATTATCATTAGTACCTAATTTCTTTTGCAGCAAGAAACGTTGAGCGTACAGTAGAAACGTATACGGACGGATAATGCTCGTTCTTATCAAATTAATAAGGTGATTCTTACTCATCAAATTAAATATGTATATTTGCAGAAATCACTATTTGCATCTTTATCGTCTAGTTGCTGTTTTTGTTCGTTGTTCAAATACAAATGCAGTAGTATCTATCGATGGCGCTTATTTCACCAATTTGAGTCCTATTCATTAATGTAATTATCATAAAACAATTAGTTTTTCGATATCATAATTCTCGAGCAACGCTCCTCGAATGCGATCACTAAACGTGACGCTAAACCAGCACCGTAGTCAGGCCACCCAGCTTGACCGGACTTTTCAAGGATTCGCCTTAAACGAACATCGTTGATTAGCGATGAGAGATGCTCGAGTAGAAACATTTCACAGTCAACGATCAGTGGGCCAAGTGAGCATCGCTGAAATCGATCGAGTTTCAAGCTGTAGTTACGAAATTTTTTGAAATTTGAGAAGAAAACATTACTGAAAACGTGTTCTAAATGAAAAAATCGGCTGAAAAACAACAATAATAACAAAAAATTGAGATAGACCAAAGAATGAATTGCATCCAGAAGAAATATAATACGAACCGTAACGAATTTATAAATGTCAATAATCGTATCACGATCAATTTGTTGACGTAAAACGTTTCGACTTTCGGCTAGAATTGAATTTATTGCAAAACGACGCGCCGCTTCAATCAAATCCATCTGTTGTTGTAGCGATTTATTTTGCAAAATTGATGACGAATTACCCGAGTAGAGACACTGCATTAGTAACTACAAATTAATGCAATCAAACATTCGAAAAATCACTTCAATCCACTTGATTAATTGCTCATTCGAACAAGTTGCTCGTAAAAATGACACATTGAACAAATTTTTGAAAAAAATTATTGTGATTTCATAGGAAACTTTAATTAAACCCTCAGAGGACATATTGCAATTGCCTAGAAAAAGGAGATGTAATAAAAATTCTTGGGAAATTTAAGCTTCAAAATTAAACGACGAAGTAGAAGAAGAATATTTGGAATTTCCAGTCCTTAGTAACTCTTTTATTTTATGAAGCTATTGCAGTAGTACGGTATGAATAAGGATGATTTTTAACAAGAATTCCACCTTGAACGCATCGTATGACACATTATCGATCTCGATTTGGCCCTTTGGATTATCCAATAGTTTCTTGAAAACTTCTGACGAATTAACCAACACAATACGATGTGCGTAAATGACGCGCTTCTCAACCTTAAATTAATACCAATTAAACTCAACTTGAACATATATATCAAAATGAGATGTTGATGGCATGTCGATTCGAAATTGTGACGAATGATTTGAAAGATACCAAAAAACGAATATCCGATAAATCTTCGTTATCGACATATTTCAAGTCGATCAGTGGTCGACTGGATTGCTGCTGTTGCTGGACGTGTTGTTGTTGTTGTTGCGATGTCAGATCGTCGCTTTTAGCACCGAAACGAAATTGTTTGAAGAGGCGTGAAATGATTGAAGCACACGCTGTTGGATCACCGTCAGCCAAAGTACACTCGTTGCGTAGAATTTCGAAAAGCTGCAAACAACAAACTTTTTTAATGAGAACGAGCGATGAACATTTGCATCGATGAGTGCACACAAACTATGAGTTGATTCGAGAAGAAAATGCAGACCGACCTCAGAAACAACATCATCAACTGTATCGTGACTAATCTCGTCGGATAGACGTGAATTGAAATCACTAAGCAGTTGGTTCACCGTGTTGCGCAATCTCATTCGACCAGCCAGTCGCACACAGCTAGCCCAAGTGTAGACATTCCATGGAACACCTGAAATAGCTTTATCCATTGATTGAGTAATCGATTGACTGATTATTGACCATGTGACTATCAAGTGCTTCCAAAATGGAAATAATTAATCGGAAATGCATTTGAAGGTTTTTGAGTGAGTTTGGTCGGATTTTTGAAGTTGGAATTTTGAAAAAAAAATTTGATAATGAATAAGTTAACAGTAAGTTGAATATCAGCTAAAACTTAAATTCACATTCCATTCAATGACCGCTAATCGTTTAATTAAGAGTAGAAATTCCAATTAACAATTACAATAACAGTCTAATCTTAAGTTGGCCAAAAATCACCTATCTTCGCCTTTGGAATGTAAAGAGGTACAGATTGGGTGTGAAAATCTACTCTTAACTAGAAGCATTTAGAAAGGAAATAAAAAATGAAACAGACCAATTTTACGAAGATCAAGAGCAATATCCAGATGACCCGTTTCGGCCGCATAATAAAGTGCCTCATGAAGTGCTCGTTGCTGCTCTTTATTGAAGCTGTCCAAAAATAACGATGAGTTTCTGAAGATTCATTATCCATTAGTCAAAATGTCACGTTCCAACCTGTGTCGTCAATAGGTGGAAGGAATCCTTCGTTAACAGTCAGCACTAATTGTAAGTTGAACCCGTTTCTGTCCCAAAAACTATGATGAAGCTGATGGCAAAATAAACTTTGTGACTATCATCTCGACATCATATGAGAAAAAAACGAAAATTTGAATAATGCAACAACACATGAAGATATTTCAATCGTTCGACTTTATTCAATGCCAAACTACAATGAACACTTAAAAGAGCGAACGATCTGCCTATTTGTTAATCTATAAGAATTATCCAATACGATGAATGGACCACCTTGAGCTTGTTTCTGGAGTATTGACACTATTGTTAGTGACGTCGTGCATCCCATCCGATTCCTCTAAGAAATCCTTTAGACTAATATGTTCATCGACCTTCTTCACGTTTGTCGCTGAAGCAATCAAATGCAGTTGATAATTTTTGATTGTCAATCAAAATACATTGTTGATACTAATCTGTTTGAAATGTTATCATCACCAGATCAACTGAACATCATCACTAACCCGTCAAAATCATCACTCTAAGCAAACGACGATTGCCATGTGCAGCAGTAATCGCAAGTGGCGATGGAGATCCAGTGTTACGAAAGTTACATTTCAGTGAATCATACGTGATCGATGTATGAAAAGGATTGCCACCGCTGTTCAGTAATTTCATAATAATATCAAAATTATTCGTCATTGCAGCCAACTGAAAAACCTGCATGCTTATCCAAGATATAAACGAAACGAACAACACCTCAAATAATTCTCAGTGGATTAGCCAGAAATATTTCACCAGTAACGCTGTTTCAGCCGGAATTATAGCTACGTATGTCGATTTTTGAATTTAAAAGGTTCCAAAACAGCAAGTTTTTTGTAGAAAAATGATAATGACAAATTCATTGAGGAATTTATGAACGAAACCGTTGATAAGAGCTACATTGCGCTACCTGGAGTGGTGTTTCGTGAATCATAAAATCATTCTCGAGGTCAGCACACGCTTCGATCAATTGACCCACCAAATGTGAATTCTCACGTGCGACTGCCCTAAAAATTTGTTTCGCCAAACTGTCAACATATTTTAGTAGATTTGAATGGAAGCGTGATTCGTGAATGAGTTTTTCAAAGAAATAGTTGAACATTCCAAGCATGCACCAGTGCTTATAATTGTATGAACGAACCAAGTCAGCGGTGTCCAACCAGCAAATTCGTTTAGAACGCTTGACGAAGCGATTTTTGAGGGTGATTCGGCTGGCACGGGCACATTGATGTCGGCACCAATTGATAGCAGAAATAAAACAGCCTTATCATTACCGGCCAATACGGACTCAGCCAGTGCGGTCAAACCCTACAAAACGATCCGTTAACGCCGATAACATCGCTAAAGAAAAACCATCAATAATACTAACGAATTCATTGACAGTGCGATGCCTTTGTGGACCTAAAAGATGTATGGCTTGAGTGACAACATCTGGATCAGCCGTTTGCAATAAGCCAAATGCGAGTCTGAGCTTAACGTTGTGTTCATCCGTTTCAGACGTAGAACCCCTACAGAATATTCATAAAGACGTTTATCCATTTAACATCTAACTGAGTACTTTCATTATCAATGCACAACGAATCATTTTAAGTGGTTTGCTTAAGAAACACATTTGAATGACGTACAGAATTGAAGTGATTGTACGTGGTGGACAATCGGCATTCTGAAGCAATATTCGAGCTGTCTGACGAATATCCTCATCGTTGATTTGCTGTGAGAAACGATTGTTGGCGAATGCACTTGATATACGAAGCCAATCACTGAGCAACGGACGTCGCAATTGCCTAGAGCCAAGTTTGGTTGTTGCCGAATGTAAAGCTCAACAATCAGCAATATCCACGGTACTCAATTCACTCCTCGTTTGACTGCGAGAGAAGATGAAAGATCACTTTACTTCTTTTGAAGTATTCATCTAGTGCTTGAAAAACAAACGAGAGAAAGTTCAAAAAACGAAACCACAATGACGAAACGTCTTCTTTGGCATTGCGATAGCAATACCAAAGAAGACGTTTCGTCAAAGTTATTATTTCAATGTTTTTAAAATTTATTCATTCAGTTATTCGTACTAAATATCGATAAACTTTTCTTAGTGAATGCAAACCAGAGTCCATCATGCTAACCTAGTACTCAACGACAAATGTTACTGTTTTAGTAAATTATTCATTTTCACAATATTTCCACAGTTATTTTTCATTACATTTCTTTGCGTATCGCATGAATTCAATTTTTACTTCCATTTATTCCTTCTTATTTTATATTTTCCCTCTCTTCTTTTCGTAAGTTATAATCTATTGTCTCTGCTGTTATCTCTATAACTATTTATGTATTCAAGTAATTTCTCTCTCCTCGTTTTAAATTCTTTAATTCATCCGTAATTTCAGACCCCTTCACCATCAAAATTTGAAAAAAAATCCATTTGTGTGCATTTTTCATGTGAAAAAAAATGCTTCGGCAGTGAATCTGGTGTTATATATTATGTATAAATTAGGATATTTTTTGACTATGAAAACATTAAAAGTATAAAGTGATATTATAGGAAAATTAAAACACCGCTACATCATGAAATTCGTCAAGAAAGTTCAATTATTCTTCTTCTTCCTCTCTAAACCATTTGTGACGGTTTAATAAAATCCGAATGTAAAAGACGAACAAATTCATCTTTGATCCATTTCGTTCATTATTCACTTCTCAAAAACTGAACTGAATTGATGGACAATTGTGCTAAAACTTATAAGATGTTTTCGCCCTTAGCACTTAACGTTTCAACGTTGCCTTTGTTCCAACAACAAACACTCTCTTCATCTGTGCAGGTTACTTTCAACCAGATTTTTTGATGGCTTGCTAGACATACCTTGTCGAAACAAACTTTTGACGACGTATTGAACGATTTTGCAACTGCGTCAAATCGTCTGACGTTGAATGCTCGTCACATTTTTGTGTGTAATAGAATAGTGTGCTAAGTGCATCCTTCGTAAATGAACAGAGTAAGTTTCTGAAAAAAAAGCATTCAATATATATATATATATAT